TATAATTTATCGCATGCAAAACACAGCAGATGACACTTTTCTTATTTCCAATATATTTTTAACCAAAAAAATGTTTCTAACCGTCCTACGCAATCTTATTTGGCAATTCAAAATGCGCTGACGCTATTGTTGTGGTATCTACACATGTGCAGATGTGTATGATACCTACACCCGGAGGGAGATTGTAGGGAGGCTAAAATGATTAGAGAAAAAATGCGCAGCACTTTTCATTATACAACTACAAGTCGCATTTTTTTATGTATTGCCGCTTAAAAGGAATTAAAAAGCAATATATATAAAAAATTAGTATTTCATTTGCTTACGAGTTGAGCATCTGCGCTAAGGAAAAATTGGCTTTGAGATTTATTTTCACTTGGCGCCTGTTGACGTAAACGACTACGGGTATATTGGCATTCAAATAGCGGTTTCTACTTTGCTGTTGTAGCAAATTAATATATTTAAATTTTTGCATATATTTGCTTAACCGGTCAACATATTTTAGTATAATGTTTTATTCTATTTTGACATTTGAATTTTTAATTTTTTGGTTAATTGTATAATATTGAATGAACGGTTCTTTACTAATACATATTTGATATATTTCAAGTGGTTTCTTGTTAAAATATACTTGCCTATAAATTATATATGCATTTACTTTCGCTAGGGATCAAAACTGGTCTATGCATGGCTCAGAAGCCTACCAAAGTAACCTAACCTACATATGTACATATATATTTATTGAATGAACTTGTCTGCAAATTTTGAAAGTTTTGAAAATCAAAATGAATATATTGAATAAAATTAAGCTTAATTGTTAAGCTATTGTATTTTCATGCATAATACCAAAAAATACATACACATATCGCAATTTATTAATGACTTTGGCTTTTCTAAATTCTGAAATTTAAGTACCAATATTGAAAAATTAAAAAAAAAAATCAAAATAGCGTCAAGTCCTTGTTATTTTTATTATTATAAAAAATATTACAGAAGAAGATAAAACTTGCAGCGAAGCTATAATACCCTTCGTAGTTGAATTTCTTATAGCATAAAAGGGTAAAAAATATCATTATCTTGATTTTGGATTGTGTTGTTGCCTTGGACAATAATCTGTGCCCCATTTCGTGCTGATAATTTGTCAAATAAAAAAATTTTCCATACAAGGACCTGATCGATCAATTTGTATAGCAGCTATATGCTACAAGTATAGTGGTGCGATCTGAATAATATATTCGGAGATTGCAGTGCAGCCTTGAACAACAATCTATGCCAAATTTCGTGAGGATATCTCGTCGAATAAAAAAGTTTCCATACAACTACTTGATTTTGATCGTTCAGTTTGTATGTCACTATATATTATAGTGGTTCTGCATATATCAGCGGGGTTCGACAAATGAGCAGCTTCTTGTAAATACAGACAGAGCGACTCAGTTCGTCACGCTATATATGCATATATAATATATTTTATAAGCGTCTTCGACGTTTTCTTCTCAGTGTTATAAACTTCGTAGCAAACTTACAAAATATACACTGTTCAGGGTGTAAATACATATACAATATATAGTTAAGTATTGGTCTGTATGCAGCAGCCAAAAGTATACACTACTAAATTGAAATCAATTTACTGTTACAGCAGAAACAATATTTTTTATGATCAAGAAATTTTTTTGTTACCCGATGAGTAGGTAACCAAAGTTAATATAATTTTATTTCAACAATCAAATCTTTGACCACATTTCAATTTCTAAATATTTTTTATATCAATTAAACAAAAAAAAATGCAAAAGATTAACAGTAGAAAAAAATATTGTTATTAAAATTTGTTTCCAATCCAACAAGTTTATAATTTTCTCATTTTTGATTTAGAAAATTATAAATTTTTAAATTCATCAATTTTCATTTTATTTCAGTGCCATCTTAACAATCAATCATCTTTGTGTCATTTTCAATATTTTGGTGATTTTTTATTTAAATTCTTTAATATATGTATATGAAGTCAGGCATACCAAAATCTTAAATTAATTTACTAAAACTTAATTAATCGTTCTGAAAAGCTACACTAAAAGAGCTTAAATTAATTTATTTACTAAATGTTTATTAATCGTTCTGAAATACTAAAAACTGTAAGCTCTTTCTTTTGATATCGTTTCTAAACCCCTGAGCCTATTTGATTATTCAAATGCGGAAAGTTTATTTGTAATGTAATAAATACCCTATGTTTGTATGTACAATATACACTAACTCATATATGCATATACACCTGTATGTATAATGTATGTATAAAAGTAATGGAAAATATACAAAACAAACTCACTGTTGTCTATATGGTTTTAACTCGACCTTTAAACGACCTGTTTTGTTTATACCCCAGTAAACCAAATGAGATGAGTATGTGTAGATAATACATGCATTCATACGGTTATAATTTATATAGTAGTCATTATTTATTTATCGATTAGGGACAAAAATCTATAAAAGTTGTTTCAAATATTTTTGTAAAGATATTTGTTTATTAAGAAAATCATAAGGAGTATTCAGACCGAACATGTTAATCTGGTAATTCGTTAGTTGATACTTGGTTAAAATACTTTACTGTAAACATACTTTTTGCTCTATCTCAGTAGTGTTGAAAATTTTGTTTCAAAACAGTTGATTCAATTTTATTAAATACTTATTTTTGAAAAATTTGATTAATATAAATTTAGTTTGTAGCGAGCAGCAAATGTATTTTTTCGCAATGAATCAATGAACTTTTTAGTCTACGACACAACAAAAAACAGGTAGAACGATAATCTGTTAATTTTACAAAAACCACATTGTACGTAAAAAAGTACCGTATAACGATCACCGAATTAACAAAGCTGGTGTGAATACCTCTATAGTCATTTTATAAAAGAAAGTTTTCAAAAATTTTGTCAAATGCAGCCAATTTGAAGGAACTTTTTAAATGAGCAGTGAAATGCCTTCAAGTGTATACTAGTAAGGATTGCGAATTTTTAATTTATTGTATTAAAAATTAGATTTTAAAGTTTTAATTCCAAATTTGAGACGATGTTGATTATGTGCTCTAGTTCAAAATGGTATAACTAGAAGTACGCAAGCGCACAAAACTTAAAATTAATTTTTTATTGATTATAAACTAAGGATTATCTTTTTTTTGTTTTTCAATTTGGGATCAGAAATTTGAAAATTGTTTTTAATAAATATTTTAGGGTTTTTAAAATAAATAAATTTGCAACAACGATACTATTTATAATTAAGATCATTCACACCATTTATCGCTTCCTTTTTTTTTTTTTTACAAATTTTCCTCCATTTTTGATAAAAATTTTAAATTTTTAAATCTATTGACACAGTTTTCTGCCCACCACTGTAT